ACCCAGGGCCCTTTAAGAAGAGCAGTGGAAATGTAGGGAGCAGCAGCCCAAAGCAGCACAGGGCAATAGTGCTCTGAACCTGACTCCTGAAACCAGTTTTTTCTATTAGGCTTTTGGGCCCATAATAAGAAGGGTTGCTTTGAACATTTCTGAAATGTCTCTAGAATTTTTTTTTTCCCTATTGTTCTACTATTAGCACTTGGCTCCTATTTAGTCACTCTGTTCTCTCCAGCAAGTGGTTGCTCCACAGGCTCTCTTCCCTGAAAACAGTTTTTCCTTTTCTGCCACATGGCTACCCTGTGAATGTTTTAAATGTTTAGGCTCTGTTTCCATTTTAACTATTATAAGTAACAACTTGGTCATTGCTTTACTCCCATATCCAATCATAAGCTCTTAGAAGCAGCCACATCACTTCTTGAGTGCTTTCCTACACACACACACACACACACACACACATATATTGCCAGATACCCTAAATCATCACTTTTAAGTTCAACCTTCCATAGAGTCTTCAAAGATGGACAATGCAGGCAAATTCTTTTCTATGGTATAATAAAGGTAACTTTTGCTCCAGGTTCCAATAACTTTCTCATTTGTATCCGAGACCTTATCAGCCTGACCTTCACTACCCATATTTCTAGCACCATTGTAGTCACAACCACTTAAGCAGTCTCTAACAAGTTTCACACTTTCTCTCGTCTTTCTGGTTTTTATTTTTAGTCCTCCAAATTCCCCCAACTTCTGCACATCACCAGTTCTAAATCCACCTCCACATTTTCAGGTATCTTTATAGTAATGTTCCACTCCTCGGTACAAATTATCTATGTCATTCCATTTTGTGTTGCTATAAAGGAATTACTGAGGCTTGATAATTTATAAAGAAATTTATTTGCTTAATAGTTTTGCAGGCTGTACAAGAAGCATGGCATCATTGTCTTCTTCTGGTGAGGCCCGCAGGAAGCTTACAATCATGGTGGAAAGAGAAGAGATACCAACTGTCACTTGGTGAGAAAAGGAGCAAGAATTAGACAGGAGAGTGGTCCCAGACTCTTTTAACATCCAGATCTCAAGTGAACTAATAAAGAATTCCTCATTACCAAGGGGATGGTAAGCACCAAGCCATTTATGAGGGATCTGCCCCCATTACCCAAACACCTCCCATTACGCTCAGCAATCAAATTTCAAAATGAAATTTGGACACGTTATCTGACAGCAGAGATAAAATTTTCACGAGATTTGGAAGGAACAAATATTCAAACTATATTAAATTATATTAAAATTTAATATAGTATAATTTTAATAAACTTAATAAATTTAATTTATTATTTATTATTTAAATTTATATATAATATATAATAAAAATTTATTTAATTTAATTATTAAATAAATTTAATATAACTTTAATAAGCTATATTAAAATTCATGAATAATTTTATGTAATATGCATTTTCATAAACTTTTCAAGGACCCCTCGTGTGTACATGAGTGAATGTACATGTATTCCAATAATGGGCAGGGCGCGGTGGCTCACGCCTGTAATCCCAGCACTTTGGGAGGCCGAGGCAGGCAGATCACGAGGTCAGGAGATCGAGACCATCCTGGCTAACTCGGTGAAACTCCGTCTCTACTAAAAATGCAGAAAATTAGCCGGGCGTCACGGCGGGCGCCTGTAGTCCCAGCTACTCAGGAGGCTGAGGCAGGAGAATGGCGGGAACCTGGGAGGTGGAGCTTGCAGTGAGCCGAGATCGCGCCACTGCACTCCAGCCTGGGCAACTAAGCGAGACTCTATCTCAAAATAATAGTAATAATAATGATAATAATAATGACTTTGTGCCAGGCTATATCTGTGGAAGTGAATGGGGAGAAAAGAGGAAGGATACAAAGAACTCACTGAAACCATCTGACAAAAAGGATTGGCTACAGTTGTAAGACAGAAGTTACTTTCAAATTACTTTTTACCATTGCTTCCAGAAACAACCTTAGCACATCTTGAAGAAATGATTTATAAGAGCTGATCATGATCCTGGTTGTGCCACTCTGAATCCAGTTTTGTTCAGAGACAAAGATATAAGACACCTAGAAATGGTTCTTGTCTGTAACCTTTTTTTTTTTTTTTCTAGAGAATTTCTGCTCTCACCCAGAGCTATATTGTTTTTGAATTCTATTTTTTGTAGGATATTGAAGTAGTTTGGGAGAGAGAAGCAAATACATTTATCAAGGAAAAGAAGGAAGTCTTGCAGCCAATGTGTATCAAATGCTAAAAAGCCTGATTTGTTAGCACATAAAAAGTAAAGAGATTTGTTTAAGAAGTAGTATAAATTAATTCTTCAGATAAAAGTTGAAGGAAAACATCTATTCTCTTCACTCCATTTCTGTTCATAAACCATATATGGAGTTACCAAAATTTAGCTAAATTAATAAGTGACACAGAACTACTTGTATAATTATCATCAGCAAAAGACAATTATTGCCTCATCCTGTACCATACTCCACTGTTAGAAAATTCACGCAAAATACGTGACATGCCTAAGATAATGACAATTGCAAATAGTGCATTTTAATATTAGAAATATGCAGTAGTTAGCCACTACACAAATGTCTGGAAAATAAGAAATCAGAATAGTGTGGGATTATTCAAAAACGTAAAAGAAAAAATAAATTCAGCTCAATAATGTAAAGAAAAAAATGTTACTATAGGCTCCCATCAACAATATTTTACATCCACAAATTTGTGGATATTATACATCCACAAATGCTTAATGTATATTATTCTCAACTCTCTTCTACTAACTTAGGAAAGCCCCAGGAGTTGTTTCATTTCTGTTACTGAATGAGGCCCTTTTGGCTTCCACACACAAGATTTGTTCTTTCCTTTTCCTGGTATTGCTGGTATTGAGTTTGTGTTCCTCTAAGCTTTACTGTAGCAACCTGATTCTAATGCTATGGCTATTTCACCCAAATTAAGGTACATAGCGTAATGCCTTGTGGTGTGTGTGTGTGTGAAAGAGCAGCATTTGATTTTGGCTTTGTGTAAATTTGTCTTACCAGTTGTTAGACCTCCTTCATTTTTTTCTGGCTATCGATTAAGATATTGTTGTCCTCTCAGACCAACACTTTCGGTGGGTAACCATTTATTATTTTAAGTTATGATGTGTTTTGACAGTCAACTCAGTGAAGAAAGTTTGTGTCATAAACACAAATTGATCACCTTTTCTGTATTATTTGGTTCTTAAGTTTCCAACATATATCTCTAAAAGAACTGGATTAAAACAAGGATAGTAGATAGATAGGTGGGTAGGTATAGATAGATTAGATAGATAGATAGATAGATAGATAGATAGATAGATAGGAGATAGAGATATAGATAGACTCTATTATATTCAAAATCACTGCTTAATTGCTTAGCCTAGGCTTAGGTGCTCTGGCTCTGTCTTTGATGTAAATGGTTTCTCATGAAGCTCTTTAGTTTTTTATAAAAATAAACTACTGGAAGAACTTCCTCACAAGATTTCTAGGAATATCATAACATATCTGAATCCTTAGAGATTATATTTTTAGCTCACATTCTATAGCCCTCACAACTAAATGTCGTAGCAGCAATAGACACGAGGAAAAAAGGAAGAAAATAAATATTAGATGCAAAAATACCTAATTAAATAAAATAAGGAAAGCGAATCAACAGTGTAATTTGCTTAGGCTCCTTTTATAGTATTTAGCATGTTCGTGCAAGCTCATACCTGAAAGAGAACGAATGTGCTCACCTGTCCTTATCTGAGGTTTGTCTTTTATTTCTTTATTCTATTACTTCTTTATTTCTGAACTAACAGTTCAATTTTGATGGCACAATTTGAGTGCCAGTCTCTCTCTAGGCCCAATATTGACCCTTTGGTTTAAGAATGTCTTATCACTCACTTTTGACAGTTCCTCCTGGATAGATTCCATCTGTGAAGATAAGAGACACTTACCTCTAATACCTGCTCTGAGTCTCATGGGGCTCACATGTACCAGGAAACCCTCTCATCTTGCCCCAAACCAACAGAAGGTGGAAATTAGAAGTGTGCTGGAGAAATTATGAAAATAAAAGTATGTTGAAAAGTGTCAAAAAAAACCCACATTATATTTGGTTATGTAATCAAATAATATATAGCTCCCTATTTTTTGATATTTGAAAGCTAAGAAAATAAAGGAAAATCAGTTCAGAAAACTAACAAAAGGAAGAACAGGAAAATGGTGTAAAGTCTGTAAACCAACCTCATAAAATGGAGCAATCAATCATATATTATCATCATTTAGGGTTACCAGATTTAGCATATAAACATACAAAATACCCACTTAAATTTAAATTTCAGATTAACAACATTTTTATTAAAAATTTATGGGGGGCTAGGCATGGTGGCTCACGCCTGCAATCCCAGCACTTTGGGAGGCCAAGGCAGGCGGATTACGAGGTTAGGAGTTGGAGACCAGCCTGACCAATGTGGTGAAACCCCATCTCTACTAAAAATGCAAAAATTAGCCATGCATGGTGGCGGGCACCTGTAGTCCCAGCTACTCGGGAGGCTGAGGCAGAACAATTGCTTGAACCTGGGAGGCGGAGGTTGCAGTGACCCAAGATCGCACCACTGCATTCCAGCCTGGGTGACAAAGAGAGACTCTGTCTCAACAACAACAACAAAAAGTATCCCTAAACATATTTTATCATATTTTGTACATATTTATACTAAAAAAGTATTGTTTATAAGAAATTCAAATTTTACTGGTATCTTGTATTACATCTGGCAATCCTGTCTTCACACTGTTTCAATATTGGGCACACTGCAAATAGTTAGGATTTTGCGTGTGATAAGGCAAGAGTTATAAACTCATGGGTGTTGCCAGCCTTAACTCTTTGCCTGTCATCTAAAGAAGATTTCAAATTTGCCATGTCAGTTATTCCCTCCCCCTACAGTCTGAAGAGGGTTCTAGGTTGCTAGGTTTCCATGTTTTGTGGGCATTGTGATGCAGTCAAAAGGGCTGTGAAAGAGGGATAAGTGGAGAGGCAGAGGGCAGAAGAAAAGGGGTCAAGAAGGCAGGATCCCGTGAAGCACACCTTTCCTAAGGATTTTGACGAATGAGAATGAAGATAAACTGTGAGTTGATAGTGAAAGGGAAAGCATAAGGGATCTTAATAAGTACTTCTTAGCTTGTGTATCCATTTTAGAATATATTTAAGAAATATTTTTAAAGTTAGCTTTGGTTTCTTGATTTATCATTTGTTGATGTGGATACTATTCTGAGAGTTGTCCCTCTGGGTAAGGGATTTAGGATGTTCACATATGTTTGATATGAACATATACAGAAAAGTTCCTGGTTTCATTTGTCACAACATTTTGAGCGATGGAATCATTTTAAAGTGAAATTAACAAATTTGAAAGAAACAGAAGATAAGGTCCCTCAATTGAGGAAATTAGGGTATGGTGGAGATTTCTTGCCAGTCATGAGTGCATGGGAATCAGAAGGCATATGTTGGTTGAAGCTCTTCCATCTGAGGTGAAGTGAAGTTGTGTGTTGGAGGGGTTTGTCAGCAGGTAAAGATGGGACATTTACGTAAATAAGTTTGACTGAGCTTATGAGTCATTAATGTAATTTAGTGTAAAATATTTAAAGTTTTGTTGGAAGTAATACACGTCTTTCTCCAGAGCATGTGGACATTGGAGGATACAGTATAAATAGAATAAACTACTTTCAATATAAAGAATAATCAAAACTGATTTAGAAAGATTCAAAACAGTCAGGTTCTTTTAAAACTCCATATATATCTTTTGAATTTCAACAGGTCATTATGTACAAATCTTAATCAGAAGAGAATATTTGAAAACACAACCCTGGTATTTAGAATAAAGTGTAATATTGTGCTTCCTCAGGGCCCTGATTATCAACTCAAAAGTCATTTATTTTAAGGATTTTAAACATTATAATTTTAAAAACTATCAGGCACATACATCTACATTTATCTTTGTGGAAAAATGATTTTGGTTTTCAGTATAATAAACAGTGAAATGTTCTCTCTGTGTGTGTGGGTGTGTGTGTATGTATGTACATACACTGAAGCATTTTGGTTTATTTTTAATATATATTAAAATTTATATTTAATGTATATATATTTTAATGTTTATATTTAATACATATATTTATAATGCTCTATGTAAATGAAGTATAGAACACCAAATACTTTAAAAATATCAGAAAACAGAAGAAAATAGCAGACTCGGTGGTAAGCACAGTCATTTGGCTGTGTTATTTAAAAAAAAAATGATTAAATAAGAAAGACATATGACTCTTGGCTATTTCCAAACCTATGCCCAAACATTAAATAATAAAGATTGAGAGGTTTGACAGAATACATATAACCTTCTTGTGCAATTCCAGGGAGCGTTTATCTTTTAATGAGTAATAATAACCTTAAGTGTATAGCTTTGTGATGTAATTATATTTCAGAAGGCAATAAGCTTTTAGATATCACATACATTATGTTTGTTGAAAAACCAGTCTTAACATAGTTGAATGACATAAATATATGAGATAAATATATGAGTATATTCACAATGAACACTGAATATTTCTTATATACAATCCTATTCAGAATGTAGAAGGGAACAATGAATCTCATAGTTATCCTGAAATGTGGAAGTGAAAGATTCTACCAAACAGCAGAGCAGCATAGATGCTTTTCTTGGGGAAAGAAGGTGCAGGAGTTATTTTCTCCTTTCTTTTATAAAAATATCTTGATTTGTTTTCAGGGTGCATCTGACAAGCCTTAGATGACCGCCAGCAACTTCAGTTCTCACCAAATTTCTAAATTTCGGCCTTACCGAGAAGCAGCCAGTCATACTATCCTCAAATTTTGTGAGTTCAATTTACTTTAGAAAGCCTCTAAAATGTAGACTCTGTTTATTGTTTTACCTTGATGCTAACTACTGATGCTGAGATATTTATGTAGAGAGATTTTCTAATTGCCAATATTAAAAACATAAAACTCAGCAAAGCTTAGCAAGGACCCAAAAATATGCCTGTGAAATGATCAGAGTGTGTGAGGACTCTGAAGAAGAAAGTAAAACAAAAATAGACTAGAGAATGGAGAAATGAGTGTTGAGAAAAACGTATATTTAAATGTTAGAGTTTTACAATGCACGTACAAAGTAACATAAGTAAAATAAAGATAAAGCAGGATAAGAAAGTATCACATAGTAACAGAAGCAAAAGAATGACATACTTAAAAGCTGGGGGGAAATGAAATGTATACCACTCCATGACTCAGAAACAGCACAAGACAGACAAAGATACAAGATAAACTTTAATTGTGATCACTATTATTGGTGTATCAGAATGCTTGTGATTTTTGGACACTGATTTTGTATCCTGAGACATTGCTGAAGTTGCTTATCAGCTTAAGGAGATTTGGGGCTGAGACAATGGGGTTTTCTAAATATACAATCTTGTCATCTGCAAACAGAGGCAATTTGACTTCCTTTGTTCCTATTTGAATGCCCTTTCTTTCTTTCTCTTGCCTGATTGCCCTGGCCAGAACTTCCAGTGCTCTGTGGAATAGGAGTGGTGAGAGAGGGCATCCTTATCTCGTGCCAGTTTTCAAATGGAATGCTTTCAGTTTTTGCCCATTCAGTATTATATTGACTGTGGGTCTGTCATAAATAGCTCTTATTATTTTGAGATACGTTCCATCAATACCTAGTTTATTGAGAGTTTTTAGCATGAAGAGGTGTTGAATTTTGTCAAGGGCCTTTTCTGCATCTATTGAGACAATCCTGTGTTTTTTGTCATTGGTTCTGTTTATAGGATGAATTACCTTTATTGATTTGCGTATGTTGAACCAGCCTTGCATCCCAGGGATGAAGCCAACTTGATCATGGTGGATAAGCTTTTTGATGTGCTGCTGGATTTGGTTTGCCAGTATTTTATTGAGGATTTTTGCACCGATGTTCATCAGGGATACTGGCCTGAAATTCTGTTTTTCTGTTGTGTCTCTGCCAGGTTTTGGTATCAGGATGATGTTGGCCTCATAAAATGAGTTAGGGAGGAGTCCCTCTTTTTCTATTGTTTAGAATTGTTTCAGAAAGAATGGTACCAGCTCCTCTATGTACATCTGGTATAATTTGGCTGTGAATGTCTGGTCCTGGACTTTTTTTGGTTGATAGGCTATTAAGTACTGCCTCAATTTCAGAACTTGTTAATGGTCTGTTCGGGGATTCGACTTCTTCCTGGTTTAGATTTGGGAGGGTGTGTGTTTCCAGGAATGTATCCATTTCTTCTGGATCTTCTAGTTTATTTGTGTAGAGGTGTTTACAGTATTCTCTGATGGTAGTTTGTATTTCTGTGGGATCGGTTGTGATATTCCCTTTATCACTTTTTATTGTAGCTATTGGATTCTTTTCCTTTTCTTCTGTATTAGTCTGGCTAGCAGTCTATCTATTTTGTTGATCTTTTCAAAAAGCCAGCTCCTGGATTCATTGATTTTTTGAAGGTTTTTTTTGTGTCTCTATCTCCTTCAGTTCTGCTCTGATCTTAGCTATTTCTTGTCTTCTGCTAGGTTTTGAATTTGTTTGCTCTTGCTTCTCTAATTCTTTTAATTGTGAGGTTAGGGTGCCGATTTTAGATCTTTCCTGCTTTCTCTTGTGGGTATTTAGCACTATAAACTTCCCTCTAAACACTGCTTTAGCTGTGTCCCAGAGATTCTGGTTTGTTGTTACTTTGTTCTCATTGGTTTCAAAGAACTTACTTATTTCTGCCTTAATTTCGTTATTTACCCAGTAGTCATTCAGGATCTGGTTGTTCAGTTTCCATGTAGTTGTGCAGTTTTGAGTGAGTTTCTTAATCTTGAGTTCTAATTTGATTGCACTGTGGTCTGAGAGACTGTTTGTTATGATTTCCATTCTTTTGCATTTGCTGAGGAGTGTTTTACTTCCAACTATATGTTCAATTTTAGAATAAGTGTGATGTGGTGCTGAGAAGAATGTATATTCTGTTGATTTGGGGTAGAGAGTTCTGTAGAGGTCTATTAGGTCTGCTTAATACAGAGCTGAGTTCAAGTCCTGAATATCCTTGTTAATTTTCTATTATTGACAGTAGGTCACTACCTTCAATAAAAATACATGGATGCAGCTGGAAACCATCATTCTTAGCAAACTATCACAAGAACAGAAAACCAAACACCGCATGTTCTCACTCATAGGTGGGAACTGAACAATGAGATCACTTGGACTCAGGAAGGGGAACATCACACACCGGGGCCTATCATGGGGAGGGGGGAGGAGGGAGGGGGGAGGGATTGCATTGGGAGTTATACCTGATGTAAATGACGAGTTGATGGGTGCAGCACACCAACATGGCACAAGTATACATATGTAACAAACCTGCACGTTATGCACATGTACCCTACAACTTAAAGTATGATAATAATAAATAAATTTTAAAAAAAATTAATGTATAGGACATTTACAAGCTCAACAGATTTCATATTTTTAATGCTGTTAGAATTGCTTTCATTTAAATTTCTGATTGTTTGCTCTTAGTTTATAGAAATACGATTTGTTCTGATAGTTGAATGGTGATTACAAGAGGCTGGTGGAGGCAGTTAGGTGGGGAAAGGGAACATGATCGAAGTTTCAGTAAGAGAGGAAGAATAAGCTTTAGTGAGCTATTGCACAAAATGGTGAGTGTAATAACTAATAATGCATTGCATATTCCAGAATTTCTAAAAGAGTAGATTTTAAAATGTTTTCACAACAAAAAAATAAATAGGTGAGATGATGGATTTGTTAATTAGCTTGATTTAATCATTCCACAATGTAAACATCACATTATACCCTATAAATACATATATTGTCATTGTCGGTTAAAAATAAAACTGTAAAATGAAAAAAACAAAAAAAAAAAGAAAAGTCATCACCCTTGAATTAATATTAAACTCTGAAAAAATAATTGAAGATTAAATTGAAGGGAATAGTGAGCATGAGATGCTAAAAGTTCAGGAGTATTGGAACAGAGAAAGCATATTGAGTGAATAGAGGAAAAAGTTGGTTAAGGGAGATGGAGTCAGATTGTAGAGGGTCTCTGAAGACTGCAATTATGAGATAAGGTTCCACGTAATTCTACATCTTTAAATCCTGCTAACTTATCCATATATTCTGCCTATGTTAGCTCATAAAAACTAGCCATGAAAAATAAAAACCACATTAGTCAATTTCTCAAACTCCACCAGATTTCTTTTCAGCCCACTTGCATTCGCCTTTCTCCACCATGGACTTCAGTTAGAATGTTCCCTGCCCATAATTCTGCTCTGAAGGAATCTGCCAAGTTGATTGTTCAAAGTCCTCTCGTAGAGCAGAATTGGAAGCACAGAGTTCGGAGTATTAGGGTACACTGAAAGCATTTGCGCAGGTAAAAGACATAAGGAAAGTAAAAAGTACGAGGAGAGAGGGGTGACAGGAGAGTGGTGAGTGTAGTTTGCCATCAGTGAAATCTGCCACTATCAGTAGTAAAGCAAGCATGAGGTAAATTTCAGCTTGACTAGTGCTGAGGCATTGAGAATGAACAGAAATTGGTGAATTTGGAAGATATTTTAATAAATGAACTCAGAATTTGAATTTCACTCATCAGCTTCCTACTTTCTTATCTACCCTACTTTCCCTTTTCATGATTCACAATTGTACTTCTTTGTACAGACATTACTTTTATTTTATTTATCTATTTTATTTATTTATTTATTTATTTATTTAATTTATTTTGAGATGGAATCTTGCTCTGTCACCCAGGCAGTAGTGCAATGGCATGATCTCAGCTCACTGCAACCTCTGCCACCTGGGTTCAAGCAATTCTCCCATCTCAGTCTCCTGAGTAGCTAGGACTACCAGGCGCCCACCATTATGCCCAGCTAATTTTTGTATTTTTATAGAGACAAGGTTTCACCAGGTTGGTCAGGCTGGTCTTGAAGTTTTGACCTCAGGTGATCCGCCCACCTCAGCCTCCCAAAGTGCTGGGATTACAGGCATGGGACACCGCGCTTGGCCTAGATGTTACTTTTAAAAAGGTAGGTTTTTAAGAAAAGTAAAAATTACAGGGGAAGAACGGCTTGTACCTTATACAAATTCAACCATATCATTTTCATTTTCACATAGGTCTTAATTCTCTTTTAAATATATACACTTATAATACCTTCCTCCTATTTCAGCCCCGTTTTAAATTCTCAGGTAGGTAATTGAGATCCATCTTATTCAATGAAAATTATTTATAATTCACCATCTGAAAGGAAATAATCGGGCCTTCTATCCAGAACTAAATGTGTTCTAGTGCATAGGGTATATACCTAAAATAGCCAAATGAGAGGTTATGTTGTTCCAAGTTTATTCAAATTCCATAACTAAGTTATGAGAAAACATATTTAATAGGAGGCTTACATTTGCTCTCAGTTTTCACTTTATTCTGTGGGTTTGTGACTCTGATACAATATTTATAGTTGTGAGAAGGCACAGAAATAGCACATTCACAGGCTTTTTGCCATGACCAAAGAACTGACTTCTTATAAAATGGAACATACATACATGTAGTAAATCTTTGTCTTCTTTCTCATAAATAGAACCCAGGATGAGTTCTCCTACTAAAGAAGGAAGTGATACAGCTGGAAATGCTCACAAAAATTCTGAAAATGAGCCTTCTAATGACTGTACTACAGACATAGAGTCTCCATCTGCTGATCCCAATATGATCTATCAGGTAGAAACCAACTCAATAAACAGGGAGCCAGGCACAGCAACCTCCCAGGAAGATGCTGTTCCTCAAGCAGCAGCAAACACTGAGCTCGAAACAGAGATCCAAAAAGATCAACGAGAAGAAGATATAAAAGAAGAGCCTCTTCTCCTTCAGATCCCCATTCCTAGAAAACTGATCTCTCTTATGTCAGAATTAGGAAGAGGTAACTATCTGAGAATCCTCCTAGTGAAAATTGACCAAAACAAGCCCTTAAATGATAGATCAAAATCTCACTCAGAGAAAGCTGAGATGAAAGCAAACAATTGCCCCGTAAATCGCAAAATTCGTTTTCGACTTTCAACTTCATGGAGAGTCCCATTTATTAACAATCATGAGATAAGAAGTATGATTCTCCGTCTGCTATGTGAGAGATATTTCTCTCAGGCTGAAGAATGTCAGGATACTATGTGGGTAAAGCAAAATTATATAGCATGTCTTTACCGTCCAAATAGTTTCACCCATCACGAGAGAACCGTAATATTTAGAAGGCCTTTGAGGGTGCGCTACCACCGTCCCCTCACTGAGAGAATGACATCAGGAAAATTTTGCAAATCAACTGACATGAAAGGGAAATATAGATTCCGTGCTATTGTGAGATCTGTGCTCTTTGTGTCACATGTGCAACTTCAAAGTCTTTTTAATAGAAAAGGTTTTGTGGATATATTGAGATACAACCATACCAGGAAGGTTATGATCATAAGCACCAATAATGGTTGGAAATACTTTTGTCCCATCTGTGGAAGGCTTTTTAACACTTACTTCGAATTAAGACGTCATTCATGCCGCTCTCCTGGGAATTAAGTTAAATTGGGGGTAAATTCATTTTAAAATGTAACTTCTAAAATTCATAATTTGACTACTAAAGTAAGACAAAATTGCATGAACATAAATTTTAGTATTATTAGAGGGAGAGGCAGAAAGAAACACAAACTAATAGTAATTCTCAGCAAGAAATACCTATGGCGAGAGAGGAAACCTCTGTTTATACTTTGCTTTTACAAGTACATCATGGAAATATCAGACCCGTCATCTATACTGAGTCAGCAATTGAACCAAGTAAATGTTTTCACTGTCTTAACATCAATTTTGGTAGATATAACTATTGTTAACATAAAAGACTCCAAGTTAACAGGATCCTGACTAAGAGAGCAAAGATATGTTGGAGGGCCAAAGTTCTACCAGGTGTTTCCAGAGATTCTGCTAAATGTAATATCTGAAATGTTCTCCATATATTCAATAAAAACCAATTTGAAGAGACATAGAAAGTTGTATTGTATATTTGTAATTAGATAAAAATTCCTATGTCTGGAATAAAAAGATTCAACATACTATAAATACAGAATACCTGGGTCATTTTGATGATACAAAATAAAAACAAAACTCATAAAAAAGCATTTGATAGAAGTGAAATAATTTGAAGTAAAAGTGAACAAATATTAAATTGATACTGCATAACTGTAAATCTTTTTGCTTGTATAGCACATTCACCATTGCTCACAATCATCACCCAAATTTTACCTTCCCCTCCATACAACATGTACAAATGTCTACACATATTTAAGATGTTCCTTATCTTGTTCTTGCAGCTCAAACATCTGTTTCTTTTATTTGATCTGCATACTCAAATATTAAAATTAGAATCTATAACTACACCTCATATTTTTACCATATCTTATATTTAATATGTAATGAATATAGGAATATAATATGTAATACATATGCAATGCATGTATTTTATATAATATGTATGTATTATATAATACAACTTATACTTTGAGTACCCATTATATGTGAAGCACTATGCCAGCATAATTTTATGTGTTAGTTAATCTTTGCAACAATCTTAAATTTTTTAATTTTCATGGCATGATTAAATGTATGGAAGGAGTTTCTAGAAAATTGAATGACTTTACCAGGTCACAGAGTAAATGCATGCTATTGCCACTGCATGATATAATATAACTGGAATTGAATAGAACACTTTTGGCATATTATGCCTTATTTAATATGTATGCATTTATATTTGAAATAGCATATAGAATTTATTTCATCCATGGATATGCTGTATTATAGAAATTCTAAACTTGAAGCAGAGGATACTTAACCTACATCTACAACAGGTCAAATTTGTTCATCTGGAGGAAAATTTGATGCTTCCAGATACCATTATTCAGTGTGAGCAATGGATTGGATTAAACAATTAAACAAAGACAATTCAAAAAACTGAATAAAATATTTCTCCATTAAAAATATATTAGACATCATTTTTTTTATCTCATTTGCTCTTGAATATGAAACATAATTTTACATAAATATAAGCCATCGGGTAGAAACTAACAAAAATAAAAAAGAAACATTCTTCTTTTTTTCACTTTTCCTAACTAGGGATGAAAGAAAAATAGCACTTGCTATTTAAAAAACGGGTTTTAACACTGACATATTACCATCCACAGAATCAATATATTTGCTGGTAAACCTCCACAGAATTTGAAAACACAGTTTGAATGCAGAAAAAAAGTTAAACTCGATAGTATTTACATTTTCACATTTTTTCAAAATTACAAAGACATCTATTTAGCTAAAACTTTAGAAATGACATATTAAAATTAGAATTAAGTCAGAATGGAGAAATTCGAAAAATGTAAACTAAACAATTCTAGATTTATCCTTCTCTAGCAGCCCACTTGAAAGATTTTCATAAGTACCAAAGTGGAGGAACCATGCTTTTGCTTAAAAAAAAACATGAATAATTCAGTCCAATGTTCAAAAAAATAAAGTGTTCTATTTTTTACTTTATTTATTCATTTTTTTTTTCTGAGACAGAGTCTCACTCTGTCGCCGCCCAGGCTGGAGTGCGGTGGCACGATCTCGGCTCACTGCAACCTCCACCTCGTGGGTTCAAGTGATTCTCCTGCCTCAGCCTCCCTAGTAGCTGGGATTAGAGGTGGGTGCCACCATACCTGGCTAATTTTTGTCTTTTTATTAGAGACAGGGTTTCACTATGTTGGCCAGGCTGGTCTCAAACTCCTGTCCTCAAGTGATCGACCCACCTCTGCCTCCCAAAGTGCTGGGATTACAGGCATGAGCCACGGTGCCTGTCTCTGTGTTCTATTTTTTCTTTAATTTACAAATCAACTCAACACTTTACAGATATCTTTATTTTTTCTTAAAAATGTAGGAACGAGCATGTATATTTATGGTTATATTAATAATTTTCATAATTGTTTCACTTTTTTAAATATGGGTATAAGATACTTTATTTCATATTTACATAGTAACTAGCATCTAAAATATTAGCTTACTTTCAACATGACAATGACCAGAAAATGATATACTCAACACAAAGTAGAATACATTTTTTAGGAGAAATAAATTATAGAACCCTGAAGATGGCAGCCTTTTACTATTTTAATGTTCTCAATTTTTTACTGGTTAGAATTTAAAATTATATTTCGAAAGTTTATCTTACAACAAAGTTTTTTTTGTTTGCCTCCTATCATTTCAGTGTCATCAGTGCATTGTATATCTCCTCATAAATTATGTTTTAGACATATTTAACCAGAAGAATTTCAGGTTTATGGAAAAATCAGACTGCCTCACATGTGTGATAGTAATTTTATTCTGGCTTATGCAAGATACCTTAAAAGTTAAATTGAAAGCATGAAAAGCATTGAGGGAAATTTTCCAAAATTATGTTTAAAAAGTGAATTCCCAAACAATTTTTGATTTTATTCTCACTCTTAATGGGCCTACTTATTGTTTGATACCATTAGTTTTACATAGAGCCAATCCTGGATAATTCAATCAATAGAAATAAAGGGACAGATAGAGTAACTGTCTATGACGTGTGATTTTTGGATTCCTTGTTGCATCAGGGTTTGGGATAAAAGCCCACAAACTGTGGACTTATGCACTAAGAATCCAGCACTATAGTTATTCATATCCTATAAAACAGACTTTAATAATTAGACTTCTATTATTTAGTGTTCAAGTTTAATATACATCAATATGCGAAAATATAGTCTGTAGTTATTTGCTCAATTGTCTATTTGAAATGAAAACTATTTAGATCATTATATTAAATCAACCCATACATTTTATTAAAATGTTTGAATAGTATGACGCTAACAACTAATATTAATTTTATAAAACTTTCTTTTTTGAAACAGTAAAACTTGAGGAACCAGGCATTTACAATTTATTGTATCTAGTACCCAGCTAGGAAATAAGAACCAGTTATTGTGCACTAAAGTGATGATTAGGGTTATCTATGGATTTGATAAAGGATTATTTACTCTTCTTGTCCTTGCTGTATTCTAATTACCTGGGTTCGGGAAGAGGAAAGGAAACATCAGCCTAAACATGGTTCAGATCTGAAAATCTCCAACTTTTCTAAGACTCATTATAGCCCATGCTAGTGAATGGGTAGGTAGGTAGAGAAAATGTGTCATGTTGTTGCTACACGTCTTGTGAAGAGACACTGACAGCTTTTGATCCAGTCTTTTAATGGGTATTTGTATAGCAAACAACCTCGGAAGCTGGAAATACTGTCTCCCTGCTGGACCCAAGGGCAGAGGATAGATTTCTTTCCTAACCAGTATAATAAAGATAATGTCTCCTTCAAGGGCAAAGGTTGGGCAAGTTTGCAAGCAGCCCCCTTACATGATTGATAGTTTCCTAAGCTCTAGGTTCCTCGTGTGTGACACGAACTCACTGTGTGTAGTATTTACCTGTGCCACTCTGCGTTACCCTTATGTGACTTGAAGAGCAAGAGAAATCAATGCAAATATGAAGGTCATGCTGCCTTCTCTGCCCCTTGAGTAATCAAGTCCTTTCTCTCTGACCCAGTGTCCCATGTCTTTTGAAACTGCAGCAAGTTAACTTGTTAGCTGACAAGCAGGATAAAATGTCAAACCTATCATCATTTTTGATATTGGAAAGAGAGCTGGGTGAATAAAATTCCATTAAACAATTTTTATTATTTTTTACTAAATGACATTTTCTATTCTTTCAATAGACTCAAACTACACCATCTTTTGAGAGCTTAACATTATTAGCTGGGATAAAGTATTTGTGTGAATGTCTAAGCACACAGCTTAATGAAAGAAATACTGGGATAATTTTGAAATCTCTCATTCTCAGCTTCATGAAAGAGCCACTTCTGTGAATGGAGGAAGTTACATATCTGTCTCGCTTCTGAATCTGTGCTTATAGAATATAAACACAATAACCTTCACTAACTTATTATGAGAAAACTATCTTCTGCTAGATATTCTCATGATAACACTCGCTCCTTCTTAGTAACACCTAGAAGTACCTGACAGTCAGAATAAGAACGACACAAAAATAAAAGCAAGCAAGTGACTTGCATTATTTAACTGAGAGACACTAGGCTACTTATTAATTAATAGAGAGTAGAGAAAATTAGAAGTTCAATATTGATATGTAAGTTACTAAAAGATTTCAAAACATTTGGAATTGCATGGCATTTTGGATCTTTAAGCATTTGGCTGTTTGTCCTTTCAGTTATTCCTGATGTTTTACTGGATTTTTTCAATAAAGATGCTATAATTCAAAATATCATTGCACAAATAACATAAAAAGTATGCACTATGTGAAAATTTGAAACTGTACTTATAAACATTTTTAAATGATTTCACTTAGGGAGTGATTATATCAACAGACAGTATGGAGTAACAACAAGAAATACATATTCTCAATATATTCTTCATAGAATAGTTATGCTGTTGAATAATCTATAGAATCTAGTCTTTATTATAAACACATATTTGTCCAGGGAAATATGAGTCATTCATTTGTCCAAATATGTATCTATTTGTATATTTATATATGTACATATACACGTACACACACATATACACACATATATATGTACACACATATACACACATATATGTACACACATATATACACATATATGCACACACATATATACACACATATATGTACACACATACACACACATATATGTACACACATACATATATACATACACATATGTACACATATACGTACACACATATGTACACATATATATGTACATACACACACATATATATAGAAAGAATCATATATATTTGCTTTATCTTAGACTCTGAGACAATTGATGATATTAAAAACAAACCATACAGAAATAGGCACGGCAACTCCTGTCTGTAATCTCAGCACTTTGGGAGGCTGGCAGGAGCATCATTTAAGCCCAGGAATTTGAGACCAGCATGGGAACCATAGGGAGACA